CGTGTCAATTATGCGGCACCCGCAGAATAAAATGAATATTCTGGACGACTGAAGCTAGAAAGCCATCTTGTGTTAACAGATCAAAAAGACAGTACTTCGAAGTACCTGTATTTATCACTAGTATTACCCTGAGACAGTCGTGCTCATCTCTAGAGACTGGCTTGTATTTAACTCTACGTAATGACAACTTTCGTCATGCTGACTGTCTACATTTACTTGAATTAGGACTATAAATACTAAATATAAGGTCTATAAGCTGTCAGTGCGGTGCTGTTGGATACCCGACATGCCATGTGACTGACCGCCAGATAAACGACATGCGATTGTACCGGTCACAGTGTAGCTGGGTTTTCACGAAAAAATGAAACTTATACGATCAGTTCAGAAACCACACTTACACATACACACACGCATGCACACACACACACACACACACACATGTGCGCACGCGCGCACACACACACACCTGTCCTGTTCTGTCGAGCCACTACCACAAATTGGCACAAGGATCACATCGGCCCCAAAGGGGCAGTAGAGCGAAAGTGAGAGGTGTTGGCTTCGAGTTCACCTATCTCTACGGTGAATGCAACCTCGATCGAAAGTCATGCCGAGCGGATTTATCTACCACGCGCGCGCGCGCGCGCGTGCGCGTATACAAAACGGAGGAAGGATTACTTACTCTCCCTGTATGATGTATCTGTTGTATTCGTGAACAATGTCATTGATGTTTTTCCATGCATGTTTTCGAATATGCGAGCATAACTTCCAACATCAAGCACATTCTTGCTTCTCATCAGCATGTACAAGTTTATGTTGGGCAGTTATGTAGCGTTTGTTTTACCGGCTGCATTTGTTGGTGCTTGCAGGTCATTGGCATGCTGTCTGTTTCACAGAAGCTCGTGTAACAGGTTCACCGTACAGCTATGAATGCAATGTAGCGTGTCGAAGCCACTTCGGTATGACGTTATGCCTAATGTCCTGGTTGTACCAAAATTGCGAGTATGCAAGTGATCGTCAAGCCTGTCCCCTGTACAGTAGCCGTCTTGCCTTGTTACGCCTGGTTCTGACTCTGCGTTCTCGTATACTCCATGCAATGTTACAAGGACTACTGCTCCCTTCTCAAGCAATTCATTGGCAACAAAACGCTCAGCTATGCCCTGTAACTTTTCTGTGCGGTTTGTGCTTTGTCAATGTTGCGTACCAGTTCATGATCTGTGCTTGCTGGTCTGTTTGTTTTCTCTCGCACAATTGAGGCGCTGTAGCACAGTGTACAGTGTCGATCATTCTGCCCAGGCTCTGATCTCACGTACCACAGTACGGTTTCTTTTGTTGCTCACTGTAATGTGCATGATACAAGCTCCTTGGTACTCCATCATCACCTGGTGCTGTTGCTGCCATTGTTGGACCCTGCTGATATCCTTCTCGCAATGCCCGAACGTTGTTCCAACAAATGCACAACTCGCTCTTAGTTGTCACATTCGGTTTGGTCTCATTCCAGTCTTTCGAATTGAGTGAGTGCGTAAACTTGTATGAAGTGGTGAAGCAAAAGCCGTGCGCCGGCAAACATTCAATGTCCGGGTGTAATGACGCACCAAGGCCCCCGGGACTTGCGTCCAATTCCTGAGTGATTTTTGTGTGCCTAGCCTCTAGGTATCATACCATATTTGTTTGGTTCAACCGTTTTTGATGCCCACTGCAATACCATTCACTGTATTATCAATTTATGTGTGTATGTTATCCAAGAAATCTCCCATATTTTCGGGTGGACAAACCTCGCCATAAGTCAGTAACCTGGCATTTTGCACCAACAGAACTCCTAGGATATCAGCGCTGTCTCAGTACCTGGGGGCAGTTGTAAAGAAAAAGAAAAAATACCCTTGGCCCACAATGCCCCACTAAATAATCCGAAGGGTGTCGCGAAGACGATAATTTCCTTACCTTTCTTTCGTGGACGAAAAAAGACACTTCGCTTCGTCCGTTGCGCATGAAACGAAACATGAGGGTAGTGTTTATCAATTAGAATGGGTATCATGCACGAAGGAATGGCGAAAAGGTACTATGCTCGAGCGCTGGTCGTCGTCTTGTTTGTCAATTTTGAGTCCCATTGAGAATTTTCTTCGCCAGACCTCTCAAATTTCCCGCGGTTGCAAATAAAAGTGCAACTTCTAGACGACTTTTTTGAATTTGGCGCACGGACTGTACTGTACAAAGCTGGCGCCCTCAACTAGCACGCTGCTTGACGCCCGGAAGTGGCGGCTGGCCGTACACATGGCCGTACACATGTACAAATACAATGATGTAATCGAAATTGGTCCAGGGCGCCGGCTTTGCACTTCGGGTCGGATTTCAGTAAGCGCAACAGGCCGCAGTTGAGAAGGATGGGATACTTGTACAAATACAACGTCCAAAGCCACTGCAGATGAACGTCTTAACTGGACAAGCAATGTACTCAGCAAGATCAAACCCTGCCAGAACGAAACCTGAATATACAGGATTCTCCCGAATAAAAACCACACTTCAAACACCAGTAAAATTTAATACCGACGGCATTGCCCCCCCCCCCCTCCCCCCCCCCTCACAAACAAAAATCGGTATGGCTTATACTACTATGGTAAAATCAACGGGGATAAATAGAGTAGATGTCGGTAATTTGTGACCCAAATACTCTGGGTGTGTCTTATTTTGTATTTTATTCAACATTTCCTGGCTCATCAAACGACTGCCAATGACAAAGGAATGTGAAATGAAGGATGATAGCAAGAGTACATAGCCCCTCATAACCCCCCCCCCCCCCCCCAGGGTTATGTACTCTTGCTGATAGCCAACCACGGCAATCCTACTCCTGAAAGTGCGGTGTTTGAACTTGGCAAGCAAGCCCCCCCCCCCCCCCCACAAAAGGGCTCAGTTTAAGTTGTACCTGTACAAATGACATCCAGCTTGGCTGTTGATGGCGACTGCAGAATGGCGAAGCGTTGCGTATACGGATTATACTCTAGCGCGCGTAATCCGTTGCTGGCACCACTGCCAGTAAATTCACCCCAAAAGCGCAGGGGCATGTCGTACATGCCGGAGTGAGTGACGTTGCTCATGAGAGGGGCGAGGCAATCTGCTGTTTCCGGCAGAGTGAAAGTGCTCATATTCTTCTCATTGATGCAGAAGGATGCTGTCCCCGCTGCCGTGAGACCTTCGCCATCATTAGTCGGCCACGTTATGTAACTGTAGACCGTGTGTTGTGGAGAAGGAACGCTGCATTGGCCTGTCATCACTGTAGTTAAACACACCAAGCAAGATAGTGATGGCGCACATGAGAATGTTTGTCAGATGCTTGCACATACCCGTTGCATATTCCTGTTTCTCCTGTTTGTTCAGTGTGTTAGTTCAGTCTGTTAGTTCAGTGTGTTAGTTCAGTGTGTAGTAGTCGAAATATCTGACCGTAGATGTCTACATGGATGATCTCGTTACATTAGTGGACTCTTAGCCGGAGCTCAAACAATTTCTTATCATAAAGTTCGGATGAGACGATTTTCAGAGATGTCAAGTAAAATAATTTACATGCACATAGCTTACAAGTGGAGGAGGGTGACTGTTTTTATAATGAAATGACCCAAAGGCAATATGCCTATCGAGGGGTTCATTTGATTGAAAGAACATTACTACTATTACTACTACTACTAGTATGTACAAAGACAAGTAGGGCTTGATGAGGAGAGAAACGGGGAAAATCAACTGCAAGGTGCCGGAATTCCGTTGATTGCGTAAGCGATTATGACGTTTGAGTAACAGTTCATTCCATGAGTAACTCAGCCGAATACCCCAGTGGTATACTGTAATGAGATGATGTGATCTGTAATTATGATCCTAGACCATATTTGGTGATTGATGCTGTCCAATTACAGTAAAATCTGGTTTAAGGAGGCTCCCACCTAAGGCCACCCTTTCTTTTTTCGTTGTTTAACGTCCGCGCCCGCGTACCTTTTTGCCTCCGACCGGGAAAAAAAAACAAGAAAGTAGTAGTACCAATAATATGCGAAGTTGTAAATACATGATTGTGTAGTTTCACAGTGTGCCGATCATGACCTTAAACTTATAATCTTGCCTCCCGGGCATGCCTTTGTCTTGTGTTCTTTTTCTTTTTTTGTTGGCTTTTAAATATCGTACGGTGTGTGTCCTAGTAAAAATCCAGATGTAATGAATTCATGACATGCTAACTCCATGCTATGTACCTGTTTTGTTGGATTCATCAGGCATGTGCTCCAATGTACCATCAAAGAGTGTTGTTCTATGCCTGCAAGTGCCGTTAGACCCAGACATATTGTATATATCACATGCTTTACTGGTCAAAATGTTTGATTGGGGTTTCCAGTTTTTGGAATAGGCTTTTTTTTCCCCCTCCCGCGTACCTTTTCGCGAAAAGAAGGACGTTAAACAATGAATTAACAAAGGGTGGCCTAAAGAAGTAAAAATAAAAGGTCCATGGACACCCTGTTTTTTTATGCATATAATGGTGGAGTGATGTCTCTTCTTCAATTTGGTATAGTTTTTAGGTAGGGTCACCAGGCATATAAGAGGTATTCTGGTGTATTTTGTGAGTGTACAATTTCTTGATTTTCGGCAAAAAATGGTAAAAAATTGGTTTTTGACCCAAAGAAGCCTCCTGGAAGGAGGATACTAAGGGCATGTTCGATTGGTAGGATCGAGATCCCGATCCACCGGATTCACTGGATTCGCACCCTTTCGATTGGTCGAATCCAGATCCGGATCCTTCGGATTTGGATCCGGTCAACCCTCCTCTGGGAGCAGGGTTGATCGGATCCAACGGATCCAAATGTGACCTTTGTGCGTATATGGCGGGTAAAAATCATTTTTGTACACATTGTGGTACGCACACGTGGATGGAGATAGAGTTTGTTGACTTTTTGTACGACGCACGCGATGAGTACGACGTTCACCCTTTTGGGTGCCTTGTGAGCGCCATTTTCAACATGGCAACAGTCAAGGTCCAAAATAAAGTGTTCAGTTGAATCTGAAGGATCCGAGGGATCTGAGATCTGGATCCCGATCCCGATCCTTACCAATCGAACATGCCCTAAGCATTTTCTTCATCATAATGGTCCAGAATCTGCGAAAACCAGGCTTAGGGTGAAATTTCACAAAATGACTTTTCCCATTTTCAGCTTCTACTAGGCATGGGAGGTCAGGAAACAAAAATATTACAGGTGTGGGTCAACTAATAGTGGTACTAAAAGTATCTCAAACACACCAGGGTATTGTGTTAAAAAATCCAAAAAAACACAAAATTGTTATCACAGTAAAGAAATGAAGAGAGATCCACCAGACTGAAGGAAGAGACATGGATGATTTTGTTTAGGTGACAAGACAAGGTAGGTAGATGTACATGTATGTGGGGGAAGGCTTGTGGTGGCCCCTGGCCTTGGTGCTGCGGGCTGTAGTGGCCATGCACAGTTCTGCACGAATTTTGTTTGCTCCTCACTCAGCACATTCTGGGGCTGAATACATGTACTGGTATGATCTGGGGCTACACACCACAAGGAAACCCGACTCCAGTTGAGATGCCACCTTTTGAAGGGTGAATCTAGTACAACTGTTCAGAAACAAGCAAGAACACAGCCTTTCAAACTGTTCCACTGTTCATACTTATAGTCATAGTAAGCGCATAGTGTGCTGGCGTGCTGCAGTATCTGCTTGGTGCTGACCAGCAAGTGAAATATCGGCACGCCGTACAATCCCTTGCAGCTAGCTGTCCAGCGAGGAAAGTCTCGAGTGGGGGCCTCTCGATCTGCTCGCTCATTCGCCTGGCATTCAGTAGCACTTCATCGACAAGGACTTCAATTCAAAACAGTTTTCACACTGCGCTTCAAGCCTTTTTTCCTCGTGAACTTGCTGCAAACGTATGAGCTCTGCTGCGCGTGTTCCCTTTGCGTGAGGCCCAGAAACAGCTAGTATCTCCGTACTTTGATTGGCTGAATCGATGTCGTCCAGGTTCTCCTCGCTATCGCCATCACGACTCTAACTGGAGACGATTTCTTGACCATTTTCCGCAAGCAGCAGCTAGCGCAGACATTTCGCCATCCCTGAGTGTAGGAGATGGAATCCGTTCGATCAGCTCAAAAACTCTTCGTTGTGACTAGAGGAGTAGCAGGGAATATTCTACCGGAAGCCCTTTGACTTCCCTGACTGTTGAAACCTTTCCTGCCATGACTGCTACTTCTTCAAACAAGCGAGATTCTCTTTGGTTCCACTTCACTGCACTCGATCATCCACGCGACACAACCTTTTTACAAAACATCATTTTTCTCAAAAAAAATGATTTTCACCCTAAGCCTGGTTTTCGCAGATTCTGGGCCAATATGTTTAAGAACCACATTTGGAGGTATCTTGGCTACACAAGATAGACTGTGTCTTGGTTTTGCCCTTGGCGAGCCACTTTTTCGAAATTTTGGGTACCGAAATTTCCATCGGGTGCTGAATTGTGAAATGGTTCAGCCTGCAACATTTTGTCCATGGACATAATTATTGATTTTTGTGGCTTTCTGTGATCCTTGAGCCCCACGGAAACCGATAATGGACAGTTTTGATGGTGTCACCAGGCACTTTAGGCCCCTGCCAAACAATATAGGTATCAAAATATGGTATTTTTAGGCCAATTCTGAAAATAGCATTTTTAGAAAATCTGACCATTCTTGCCTTCTTGACTAAATATCACTACCAATGACATGGTAGTATGGTAATATTATTTTAGAAGAATTTATGTTCATGCTGCAACCTCCTTTGGACATACCAGACAGTCTGTGGTTGGTAAGATACATGGATCATAACATGTACATTGTTTGTCATGCAGCCTTCAGTCCTAGCACATTGATATACGAGTAGTGTACATGTAAGGCAGCGAGGTTTCATAACAACCTCGACCATGAAACTTGCACATGAATAATGTGAAAGCAGGCATTCAAAACAAGGCGTGCACACATACGATATACATGTAGTGTACTGTCATGCTCTCTCGGCAATTCTTTTTGTGTCTCAAATACGGTACACAAATGCGCATTCACATGCAACTCCTGTACTGTAAAGCCATTACCACACTGTCCTTGCAGACACCAGAGAGGAGACGCATACAGGACCAGCACTGTGAGCCCCTCCCCCCCCCCCCCCCCACCCCTCCACACCTAGCTTTGCACACGCACGCACACATGCATGTGCATACACACATACATGTACACAGACATTTGCATGCACATGCACACAGTGCACTCGTGGGAACATGTGCATAACCCAGATCAACATTGCGTGCGAACCCACACATGCGGGCACGACCACGCGCGCACACACACACGTGCGTACACACACTCAAATACCTGCCCAACGCTGAAGCGAGGATAGCGAACAAACTACGTTAGACACAGCAACTTGTGCTCGGATTACACCGTTCAACATCTTGCACAAACACACACACGCACGCGCGCATGCGCGCGTACACACCAACACAAGCGCGCGCGTAAACACACACACACACAAACGCATGTACTTGCGCATAGGAAAGGATTCAAAATAATCAACCACAGGCATTTACCCAATACACACCTGAGTGTGCACATCTTAGTTGGGCGTCCCCATTTTTACAAAAGCAGGATTTAGAAGTTCGTCCCTGGTTCAGAACACAAGCTTCTGGCCAGCGCTTTCCTTACACCATCAGTGCAGTACAGTGGTTGACACGAACTTCATTCCTACAGGGACAGTAGCCCAAGTTCAGCAGCTCTGAGCTCAGGATACTCTAGGGTCCACAGAAAGTTTCAAACGGTACTCGTGCGACTGGAGCTGCAAGTGGGTCCACTTACCAGCGAGTGGGCAGCCACTTCACGCTCCACAGGTAGTCCATGCTAAATTCCAGTACCAGTACTAGTATTACTACGTTCGACATTGATGTCTTCACTGACTTCAGTCTGCTTTTCTCACCCTTCTTCGTCAGTAATAGTGAGGTTCTGCCACACGGTAAAACGTGCCAAAGTACGTATGGAAACTTTGCCGCGGTACGGGATTTAGTTTGATACGGATTTTTTCATTCCGTTTTCCGTGTGAAGCGCGCTTCACACGGACTGGACTCCGTGTGAAAAGTGAGCGTACAGAGCTACATCGAGTACATGTGGCGGGGTGTTCGTGCATGCTTCGAGCATGCTACGTACAGCAGAACCGGTGCAACGTAGGAAAAATCCGTGTCAAACTTCACTGCAGTTGACACGGAATTTGGTACGTAGTTCCGTGTAGCAGAACCTCTCTAATATTATTGGTTCTTCGTGGCCACATCGTACCGCTTCAACAAAGTTTTCACAAAAAATCAAGCAGCGTAGGAACTGCCTTTGTTTTGCATTAGCCATGGCCAGTGATTCTTTCCAGCGTAGAAACAGCCACGGCTACAGAAACACTGCAACGAGTAGAACTACATCCTGGAACAACTGCGAGCACAGAGAAATCAAAAAACTTCTTTCGGAACAACAGCTTGTTTCCGCATGGAACACAGCATTTTTCGAATCTCGCGGCAAAAAACAGATCTCGGAGGTGCCCTTTTTACACTGCGCTGCGCAACTGTTCGGAGCCTCCTTAAGCGACCACCCCCACGGTGCAAGGAAAAGCGGTCTTTATGGACAGGTGGTCTTTAGCACCAGGTCCCACAGTGTCTGTGTAGAACTGTTCGAGCATGGAAAAACGGTCGTTACGAGCAGGTGGTCGCTAAAACGAGGTTTTACTGTATCGTCCAGTACCACCAGAGCACACCCCGTCTAGCGAGAGCCCCCCACCTTGATTTTACATCCAGTGAAAGTGCACAAAACGATGCACAGTTACAGCGATCGTCTTACTTTCACACTTGCCACTGGCGAGCTTCATCCCTTTGGGACATGATGCATCCAGAGGCTTCATGCCGGCTGGCGCTGCCTGGGTGTTCCAATTCATGGGCAGAATGGGACAATAGCGCTCCGTCTTTAGGAAACTGCACTGTCCATTACAGGACCTTGCGTAGTACGGGCTCTTTGGGGCGGGACGAGATTTCTGGCCACAGGTGCAGACCAAACGCTGCTCCTGAGCGGGTACTAGGTCAGCGCATTTGAGCCTGTGGTCCGGGCAATAGTCAGCATCTGAGGAGAGAAACAGATCACATAGCAGTAGAACTCAGTTAGTACATACCCTGATAAGACATGGCCCTGTTCAGTATGAACATTATCTGGTGCACTGATCCGTATTGAAGTATGTTTGAATGAGAAGTACCTTACATACCAATTCGACCTTCCTTATACTCATGGGAATAGCATTTACAAGAGTTCAACTTTATTAAGTGCAATGTTTGATGCAGAGTGTACACCGACGACGGTAGAGTCCAGGATCACATTAACATTGTACACATGCATCAGCATTACATAACCCCAAAGGTGTGCAACTCGACTACGGATGCTGTGCGGACAGAATTTAAAGTTGACGTCATTTTGATGATGCAATGCGCACTGGACACGGATTATCATACGAATCGCACACTCTGGGGGGGGGGGGGGGGGGGGGAGGGATATGTGCTCTCCATTGCATATGAAATATTTTCTTTAAATCACGAAATTTTCCTTCAGACTTCACTTACTCTTTATCCGTTGTGTGTTCAGCTGCCACAATACATCTTGCTCGGCTATTACACTCTGGACGGAAATCAGCGGGCAAATGCGATCAAGGCTGAGGCTATTGCCGAGCAGATTTCTGGAAGGCATGGCAGATAAGTGAGGAACAAAAATATGCTGGATATGAGAGAATAATGCATGATTTTCTCGAACTTCTCAAGTCCCAGTACAAACACGCATTTGGGTTTTGGTTCTGTTCATTTGAATTCGCAAACGAACAGACTGAACATGTCCAACGACAAGGAAGCGAATGAGGTTCAAGTAACCCAGGAAAGGGAAAACTCGCAAGGAGACACAGATGAAAAGAAAATATGGGAACAGAAAGCTTTCAGCAAAGGAAGAAAAGAAAAAGAAATGAAGAAGGACAAAATGTTACGAAATATGACTATAAAAGGTGTGTAACTGTCCACCAACGTAACCAGATCTTATATTCAGCGATGGGACAAAATGGCACAAAACTGACAAGGAGTACTGAGACATTTGGCGACCTGACATTCGCACTTACTGACTGTACAAGATCTGATTACGTTGGTGGACAGTTAGTCATAACTCGTAGCATTTTGTCCTTCTTCTTTTCACAATTATTTAATTGGCTCACCATCCGAGTTAAAAGAAGAAATAAAGGAGAAAAAGAAAAAAAGAAAAGATAAATCGTGGTCACGGCGAGAAGAAATCTCTTAGCAAAAAGAGAAAGGAAAGGATAAAGGAGGAAATGGGGAGACAAATCGTGGTCACGGCCACAGCCCTAGTCACGGCCACAGCCCTAGTCACGGCAGGACACAGTAGACACATACCTGTGCTTACATATCACAACAACAACAACAGGAACATATCACAACAACAACAGGAACATATCACAACAACAACAGGAACATATCACAACAACAACAGGAACATATCACAACAACAACAGGAACATATCACAACAACAACAGGAACATATCACAACAACAACAGGAACATATCACAACAACAACAGGAACAAGCATGCATGAAGCATGGGCGATGCTGGCCCAGAAGCGGAAGACACTGACAGAAAGAGAGAAGAGAAGAGAGAGAAACCGAAGACTTGCACACCCCCCCCCCCCCCTCACACACACATACATGTACATCCACACATGCCCATACATACACACCCACCCAGACACATACCCCCCCCCCACACACACACATGCGCGCACGCACACACACACACACACACACACACACTCACGCACTCACACACATTCATGAACATCCATACACTTGCACTCATACGCACGTGTGCACGCGCGCGCGCGCGCACACACACACGCACACATACACACACACACACACAAACATACACAAACACACACACACATGTACACTGACAGCCACACATACAATTGCTTTGCAATGTTCTCGGTTCATAGTAGAAATGGGACAGCTGCAGCACGGGGCTGATGAGAAACGGAGATGGAGCAAAGACTGCTAGGGAGGTTCTTCCAGCATAGTGCACCCTGGAAGGCGAGTGTCCTCTTTCCAGAGTTGCTGCGGTCGGGTGGTAGGCAGAGACCCATGCTGGAGTCCAGGCGCGTGGACCAGCCACAAGCTGGCAGCAAGAGAACCTGAAGTTCAGGACTTGCTTGGCCGTAGCGGCAGCGACATACAAGGAATGCCAGCTTCTGCTTGCATACAAGTACTTCAGTAACCCGATACAGTGAGAGGCGCTCCAGTAGGTCATGTGCGGATGTTCATGGCGGGCATCCGAACACTATACGGGAACCACGGTTTTGCAGAACCTGGAGTCGATGACAGTGCCTGGCTGCTAGAGATGTCGAACATGCATTTTTGATCCTGGCCGTACAGAAGATCGGGCATTATGATGGACCGGAAGTAATTGATCCGACCCTGTGTGCTGAGGCAACGCGGCATCCTCCACAGGACTCCGATGTTTTGTGATACACGGTTTGCACAGCGGGTTACGTGGTCATCCCAAGACATGTTGCTATCAAATATGACACGAGGGTACCTGGAAGACTTCACAAGTGGCAGCAGGGTCCCGTTAAAGTTCACCAAGAGTGGACTATGCTTCTCAGGCAGGTTCCTAGACGTGGAGATCACCTGGCTTTTGGAAGCATTCAGGATCAAGCCACGATCGTTTAGCCAGATAGCAATAGCGGAAGCTGACGCAGACAGAATCGCAGACACTTCAGACTTAATCGGGTTGCTATTTTCCCAACTTCCTTTCCACATTTTACTTTCTGTTCACAATTAAAATATTTCACGGACGATGGGTTAAACTTCTGAAGAAAAAAGGACGAAAGGTTTACAAGTTAAGGCCGAATCACAATACAACTTCTTGCGACGCGACAGGCAACTTGCGACACATGCGACGAGCTGCGACAGCGACACAGGGTTTACAATATTCTTCATGTTTGCGACATCCTCATGCACAAGTGGTACTTTTCACGTGCACTGCACGAGCACCCAGGGTCGAAGCTGTACTCCATTTGTGTATGTCGCGTGTCGCATGTCGCAAAAGTTGAACTTTCTTCAACTGCTGCGACAGGTGCCTTTCGACAGCTTGCGACAGCTCGCGACGGGCATTTTCTTGTAATTTTGGCATGATTACGTGTAGAAAGTTTAACGAAGGCTACCTGGCCACCCATCTGTATGCGCATCTTTACACAGACATCTAGCGATAACGTATTTTTCAAATAACGAGAAAGAATTTGTCGTTAAAACGTTGGACTTTCCGGTTTTACAGTAAAACTGTATTAGTACTCCATTTGGGTATGTAGCGTGTCGCATGTCGCAAAAGTTGAACTTTCTTCAACTTCTGAGACAGGTGCCTTGCTACAGCTTGCGACTGTCGCAAATCGTGTGTCGCGTCGCAGAAAGTTGTACTGTGAATCGCCCTTTAGTTGTGCCACACTGGCACTTCCAAGCAAGATACTGACGAGTCATAACGTGCAGCGGTTAACGTGTTAGCACAATAATGACTGCTGTGCTACTGACATTAAACGACCTAACGTTTAGCCGCCTAACGTCTCGAAAATGTTTCATGAAGGCTTACATTTCAGTTAGATTTGGCATCACTAAATTCAGTGGTGTAGGAATGGACGTGATATTGTTATAGCTCATATCTCTGTGCATAGAATATACAGAAGACAAACACAAACCTTGCTCTCATATGCATGTACACGCAAGCAAACCCATCTGTGATCAGATGCCCACAATATTTCCACCAAATATTGCTGACATAATATTGCAGAATGAAGAAGAGGTTGGTGCGATTTCGGCGATACAAAAATTGTTTGCAGAAACACCGACAAACAGGCACCTGCTCAGTGCAGCCCAGGTTATCAAACAATGTCAAAATAGTAGGACTCACAACAGATGGAGTTTGGAGAGTGGAGTGAAATGTGTTTGTACCATTCCCCATAACCGCAAGCCGCAATTCACCATATGCCTGAAACACATCAAAAGATAAAATTAGACTTTGGAGGATTTCCCGTTAAATTTTAAATTGCTCAAATATCCATGACTTCTGTGGCCATTGCCAGGTTCTCAAAATTGCATAGGATTTTGTTGTCTGCTGCTCTGAGAATTTATAGCTTCCCAAAGCTAACACCAAAACCTGTAGGCATTCAAACTTGTATGCGAAATGTGTACCGGTATTTACGCACCCAGGCACTAGCCCTTTCCCAAAGATGCCAAAATATTTCGCAACTTGTGCTTTTCGCAACCATGCCAAAACAAGCGAAAGTTGCTGAAAAAGCATCCATATTTTCAGAAAAAGCTCGAAAGTTGCTGACATCGCAACTCAAAATGAGCGAGTTCTTGTGCATGATATCATAGCACCATTGCTCAGTGCTCGATACAACCATCCACGGTTGGCAGAGCCGGCTCATATGGTCACAAGACTGGGGCTCTGCCAACTGTGGATGGTTGTGGTAAGGTCACTGTTTCCAAACACAGTGGTCCTCCGCCTTGTAACATGTTGTCGTAGTGTTGACTTATATTGTTACTTCACCAATGGCACAGGTATGATTGCCTTCTCACCGTCCCATAGGCCCGGTTCTCATAGAAAGATGAAGGATGCTGTCAACCAGCAATGTACTTGAAGAAGAGTAGGATGTATACAGATGTACATGACTTCTGTTACATTTTGTACATGTACATCATGTACATGTTCTTCGAGAACTTGAAGTACACTTGTTATGATTTGATACAATTTTTCAGCGCTTCTTGTTGAAGCGGAGCATCGCGGACACTTCAATGGTTTCCTCTAAGGCGCTTCTCTGCTCACGGCTGCGGAAAGTTGCGATCTCTTCCAAAACAACCAAAAGTTGCGAAAAAGTGGCGAGCATCTTTGGGAAAGGGCTACCAGGCACACACACACACACACAAACAAACAAACACACACACACGGTCATACTCCTGCCCATCGCTGAAGCGATGATAGAAAATAAGCTGTGTTAGAAATACGTACTTGTGCGGGATTACACCATTCAACAATTGGCTAGGCTGATGAATTGATCGCTACCAAGTTTAGCCTGGTCCACAATACAAAGCCGTTTGAAGTGGCTTTTTCTGGCCAAGCGAATCCCTATTTTTCTTTTCTTCATTTTCACACACACACACACACACACACACACTCACACTCACACTCACACACACACACACACACACACACACACACCACCACCACCACCACCACCACCACCACCACCACCACCACCACCACATACTCTGGCATGCACTGGCTGTGGATAACGACCCAGGAGAATGAGAAAGAGAAAAAAGACGGGTGAGACTACAAGCATCGGGAAGTGAGCCCTCCACCTCGTGATAGGAAATCGACTGCACATACCACTGCACCATAAAGGACACACACACATACCCACACACACAAAATGCACACGCGCATGGCCATGCTCACGGGAGCACGCACATTATGATCCCATACACACATGGGGATACTCAACGCAACAAGGCTCAACATGCATACAGTGCACACACTCGTGCTAACACACCCTGGATTCAGTCCCCTCTCAAAGCTAGTTTTGAGACGAATGCCAACTTGTACTCACAATTCTTCGAGATTTTCCAGATTAGAAAACAGATTCGGTGGCAGAAAGACAAGATTGTTGGAGTTCATTGACCTGGAGAGAGAAAGGTAAAAAATGGGAACCACTGTTTGCATGTGTGTGTGTGTGTGTGTGTGTTCTCCTTGTTTCTTTTTTCTCGCTGTTGTCTCCCGCTTCTGGGAGCGACGTGGCCATTTTGTGGCAGTTGTACATAGTAGTAGTAGTAGTAGTGTGTGTGTGTGTGTGTGTGTGTGTGTGTGTGTGTGTGT